GGGTCTTTATTTTGGGGTGGGTCTGATTTTTTGGAGTTCTTTATATATTCTAGATAGTAGACCTTTGTCTGAGGAACAGCTGGTAAAATTTTTTTCCTACATTGTAGATTGTCTCTTAGCTGTGTTGATTTCTCTTGCTTTTTTTCTTTTAGGACTTGAATACTTCATTCCAAGTTCTTCTTAACTTAATGTTTTGAGAAGTCTGCCGTGATTCTGAAAGGTTTTCCTTTTTGGGTGATTTTTTTCTCTAAATAATTTAATATTTGGTTGAATTTCCAGAGTCTTAAGTATATATGCTTTGGTGTAGTTATTTTCTGATCATAGATGTTTGGATCATGCTCATTTTCCTGTATGTGACTTTTTTTCTTTCCTTGTAAAGTTTTCTGCTGTTACTTTTATGAACAAGTATATAGGCTTTGTGCCATCTTCTACCTTTTCATTTATTCTAATTAATCTTATATTAGTCATTTTGCATCATCTAGAATATGTTGGATTGATTTGTCATGGCTTTTTGCTATTTTTAAGAAGTTTGTCATTTGATGATCACACTAACCACAACCCTGTCTTATTCTATCTTCACATTGATGACTCTGCTACATATATATTCAATAGAATTTTTACTCCCAGATTTCTCTTTGAGTCTGTTTTATGGGATGCAGTTCCTTTTTATATTGGGAATTCATAGTTTTACTGTGTTTCCTAAGCTCCTCTATTTTTTTAATCTTTATCTTCTCTAGATTCACTAACCATTTCCTTAACTATGGTCATCATCTTTTTAATTATCACTGTTTTGGTTTTGTCAAGAGACTTATCTGTTTTGTTACTTCTGTTGCTACTGTAGCAGCAGAGTGCCAACCAGAACATACAGACAGGGAGTCTAGGAGAATGGAAGATGCATCCAGAAGTTTTGGAGGCACAGTATACAGTTTTATTTTTAATGCCAGCGAGTCAGTCTGGAACTTATCCACAAAGAGACTGATCCCCCTTTGGCATTGAACAGGGCAGGTTATATTCTCGAGAGGGTGCAGGCTTGCAGGAGTTAAGCACTTTGCATTGGTTGTGTAGAACACAAGTTATCTGGGCCCAGCAAATTCACTGGTTATCAGATATTACAGACAGCAAGCTCAGTGCACAGAGCCACATCTCATTTCACATCTATCTCAGGGAGATAGAAGTAATGTAACTGAGAACAAGGAAAATTCCTGAGATGCTTGAGAGGAAGTGTCCAGAAGCCTGGACATGTTGAGAGAATGGGGGAATGGAGGAAAACTTTAACCATTAAGTTTGGCTTTAATTGCAGAGAAAGTTGTTCTTCCTTCACTACTATTTCAAAAAATTCAGCTGGGTGGCTTTTGATTTCTTCCACTTCAGTGTCCCCTTGACTTGCCTCAGTCAAATTGGGGGCTTTTTTCCCTCTGTTGAGGATAAATTGTACCTGGTAGGTAGCTTTATTACTAGTATCAAGACCTCTTTAGGAAATGCCAGCTTTTCACAGCTGTCTTGTAGATGTAACTGGCTTTTGGCTGTTGAGTCTCTCCTAGGATCCTGCCTCTTCACTTTATTAGGGATGAAAGGTTGAAACCTATTTGGCCTAGTACCCAGTTCTTTGGCACTGGACTACAGTGTTGTCTGTAACCTCCAGACAATCTAGGTATTGGCACACAAGAAAGATTAATTGATCACAACTATGTCACCGTAGCTAATGTGATAAAATCAGTAATAACAATAGCATCAAGCACAGACTGGAAAATGACAAACTGTTTATCTGTTAATTTGCTGCCTTTAAATATAAGCACAAAATTTATAGTTATACAACAAGATCTAGGACAAATCAGAAAATTATATATAGTAAATATCTCTTATTAGAGAGATTATATCCTAAAGGGAGAAATTTTAAAAGGGATAAGAGGAAAAAGAGACAAATAAGAGAAAGTGATTTAAAGCAAACTTGGAGGTCAAAGGAAGATTACCCAAGCCTTGGGAAACTGATGAAGATAGAAAGAAAGAAGGGAAAAAAATTAAAAATAAATAAAAAATCGACAAAGCAATAAAAATACCCAAACAGAAGAAAAATAAAAAGAAGCTTATCTGTTATTTCAATGCTGTGGTTGTCTTTTGAGCCTATAATTTCACAGCAGTGTCCACTCCAGGGCATGATTCTGCTCTTACTCGTAGACAGAGCCCAGATCTATGCTTGATAATCCCAGCAAGCCTCCAGTAGGATTAGGGCCAGATTTCAGTTCTGGTATTTTCAAGTACACAGAAGTTTGGACTGGTTTGGCCTTTGGTCATAGGGCTGGATCCTGAACCATTTAGCTTATAAAACTCTGGTGTTCCTACCAGCCTGACCATGGTTCTCCAACATTGGACATCCCATGTGGTTGTCCCTTACTCAGTTACTGTGGAAATTTAATACTGGTAACCCTGAGATGAAGCCTACTCATACCTGTTCTGAGCCCCAGGTTCAGTGGATATCTCCCTCAAAGGGTGTTTGACCAAGTACTCTCTTCAGGGGACATGGCAGTCACTTAGATTAGAGCCAATCACCAGCAGTTGTAATGCACAACATTCACTGTTGCAGTTCTCTTTGGTGGCCTTTGGAGTCATGTGCTTTCACCATGTCTCTGTACATTCAATTTTCCCTTCTCACACCACAAAGCAGGAGCCAGGGAGAAAGTGCAGATTGCCTCTTCCTTGTTCCATCTCTCTTCAATTTCTCTGTGGGCTCCAGTTTTCCCTTCAGATCCTTCTTGGGTCCTGGGGATCCACCTCCCTCCTTATCTTCCCCAAGTCCTTATTTCCAGGGTCTGGCTTCTAAATATTGGAGAGGTTGATTTGTTGCTGATTACTACTTTGCCATCTTCCCAAAAGTTCTCCAAGCTACTTTTTTCATCAGTTTTTTGTATTCTCTAAGCCTTGTTTACTTCTGTTTTTAACTTTTTTCTCATATTTGGTAATTTCCTACTAATTATTTCTGTAAACATTAATAATTTCATCTATGTTGTCTAGCTTTTTTTTTAACTGGAGTTACAGCATTTGTTTGGCCTTTTTAGTGTTGTCTAGTAGCTGCTGGGTGCTCTTTTCCTTGATTTTTTTCTTTGTGATCCCTTTGACTATTTCTGTATAATTTACTATTTTGTATTCAATTTCCATTTGTCTTCACATTGTTCATTTCTGAAAATTATGTATCTGATACACTTTTATTTCAGGCATTTCTTCCTAGCATCATTTTGAGGATTTTGTATCTTTCTTGAATCTGTCATTATTCATGTTTTAATCCATTCTGGTCAGCTTGTCCAATTTTTTACTTATTTCCCCTGAATGTACTTTGGGCATATTGAGTGAACCACTTTCGGTTCATTTCATCTTGGAACTCATCTGGGTTCTTCACTTCTTTTGTAAAGTTTGTATAGAGTTCTGCTGCCTGATATTTGCTTTCCTGTTATGTGCTCCCTTGCTCAACCTTAGGAGAGTTGGAAATCTTTTTGGGGTCTTCAATTGACTTGCTTCCCCCAGGTTCTTGTGTATATGTATATCCATTTTTTGTTTATGATCTCCAGGAAATCCAGGTATTGGTATATATAGAGAAAACTACTTGTTATCCACAAACATGTTACCTTGGTAAATTCAGTGGCATCAATGGCATCAAATGACAAGTGGATATTGACAGATCCAATGAACATCTCTTAAACAGGACTAAAAGGACTATGATTTTATTGAAGAAAGACCATCCATATATTAGCCTATAATACTTCAGAACACAATTTTTTGCTGGATGTAGGCAGTAGTGTCTGAGCACATAGGTACCATTAGACTAACTACCTTCTCTTTCAGGACCACCCTTTCTGATGATTTCATCCTCTAAGCCTATCCTCTGTCAATGGAATACAGGCCCTGTGAAGTTCCTGGTCTTATCCCAGGCCTCCCAAGGGATCCTAGAAAATCCCTTTTTAGCTCTGCCCTCTCCAAGCCTATCTCCCAAGGCTTCTCTCACACATGCTTTGTTGGTAACATTTCAGTCCTTTAGCAAAACTCTTCCTGGGTGTTTTGTTCAGTTATATTTGTCTGTTGGTTGTCACCTATGTTGTCATGTGTCGAGAAGACCCAAGGAGCACCCGTAGGCATGTAGCTGTGGGCAGGGCGCTTGGCTAGTGAGTCTTGAGATTCTCCCTGCACTGGGTGCACAGGCCCAACATTTAACTACGGGTGATATACTTAGTTGATCACTCCTCAGGCTCTCCCTGGCCTGAGCCTTAGGGCCACTGTGTGTGGCTGGGTCTAGATACATGGTTAGTCCCAGCATCCTCCTAAGGCTGGGTGTGCAGCTGTAGCCCGTGGCTTGGGACTGGGCACTGGGTTGATCTACATATTTCCCTATTACACCTTAGAAATTTTTATATCTCTGTGACAGGTAAGCATTTCATGTCATTGAGCTATAATCTGTCTTTCTTAATCTAATTGCATTGTTATATTCTCCAGTAAAAACTAGCTTTTAAAATTACCATTTTTAAGTTATCGTTCATTAATTTTACTTTGTGTTTAATTACAGTTTTGTCTAGGAAACCAGTTTCAACTTTCACAATGCTTTCTAAATACAAACAGAAGGAACAGATCCATTCCCTAAATAAACATTGAAAATAGAAATATTTTATATGATCTATCAGAGCAAGTCATTAGATATTCATCTACCCCAGTTATTTTTAAACTGAAATCCGATCCCTTATTCCCCTTCTGTGACCCATTCTTTAGACACAGCACAGAAATAAAACCAGTATTAACCAGCAAGAGAATCGATATTCCTGTTCTGCTGCTTCTTTAGCAATAAATTCCCATCTAGCATCAAAATTCCTGTGTGACAAATGCCTGTTGATGGAGAATATTGTTTAGTGACCAAGGCTTTGTAGGACTAATCCTCATTTCAACCTTTTATGAGTAGCATTGAGATATTCCGTGTTGTGATGCTCGCTGTTACTCCTGGAAATATATTTCTGATGATTTAGAAGGCAGTAACCTTTGAAGATGTGGCTGTGAACTTCACCGTGGAGGAGTGGGCTTTGCTGGATCCAACCCAAAAGAAGCTCCACAGAGATGTGATGTGGGAAAACTTTAGGAATGTGGCCTCTATAGGTAAGGAAGATATCATTTCTCATTTATGCAGTCAGAGAGCATTGGTTCTTGCTCATCGCTGCAGTTTCCTTTATGGGAATATGGAAATACTTTGATGAATCTTCGAGGCACGGTGACATACCATGAGTCTAACTAGAATGCAACAATTTTTATGTAATGTAGTAACTCATCTTTAAATTTCTTTTTCTATACTTTAGGAAGAAAATGGAGTGACCAGAAAATTGAAGATGAATATAAAAATTACAGGAAAAATTTAAGGTACTTTGCACTCACAAGAAGAATGTTGCTTAAAGGTCAGGAATATTAAGACCACACAGATTGCACAAATGAGGTCTTTTTCAAATGTTTTCAATCTCACAAAATTCTTCCAAAGTGCATACTTGTTGAATATCTAAAATCTGACACAACACTCTGGTTTCTCTTCAGATTGTATAAATCTTTCTCCTTTTTAAAATCTGACACATATTTGAAATAAACAAATATGTGAAATGTGGGAAGTACAATATTGACATTATGCCACAGGTGACATTATCCAACATATAAGAATAAACAAATTATTTTCCGTGTGCAACATTATAAAACAGTTGTATAAAATTGTATTTAGGCATTGACTATACATGTATATGAAGGAAGTTGTCTTTAGACTGAGAGCCAAGTGCAGGATCTCAAATTACAAATATTTGTATTTTCAAAAGGCCACTTTTTAATCAAATTATGCAAATAATGTTATATATATTTAAATGTGGTATACACATTTAGTATTTGCAAAATTGGTAACCTTGGGGAAGTATTCAAAATCCAAATGAATGCCTTTGTTTTGATAAGAGCTGTTTTCAAGCAATCTTCTAGAACATTCAGTCCATTCATGTTCTGAAATAGTAGAAGGCATAATATTCCCATAATATTTTGGGGAGTGTCATTGTAGTGTAACATCTATGAAAATGTGTGCAGAGATTCCTCAAAAAAAGTAAATATAGAAATTTCATTTTATCTAGCTATACTTCTACTGGATCTATTTCCCCAAATTTAAATTAATATTACAATCATACATGCATATCAAAGTTTGTAGCAGCGCAACTTACACAAGTGAAAATCTGGAAAAGAGCCTAAATACTCATCCATTGATGAGCACAAAATGGGATAGCTTGGGCAGGATGTTGTATACTTGGTATCCTAGCACTCTGGAAAAGCTAAGGCAGGAAGATCATACATTCATGCTAATCATACATTCAGTCTGAGCTACTTAATGTTTGATGAAACACACACATATGTGTGTGTAATGGAATGTTATTCAACCATAAAAGAGAATAAAATGTTATCATTTGTAAAAAATGGATGTATCTGGAGCCTGTGTTAATTTAAATCAGACACAGAAATGTCAATATCATGTTATATTTTTTATGAGAAATGCAAAATATGAATTAAGGAGTAAAGAGATGTTACAAAAGAGAGAAGAGACATTTTGGAGAGAGTTAAGAGGCTCAATGGAAGGTGGCAGGGTAGGTAGAGTCATTGAGAAAAAGGGTATGAAAGATAACATATACTATAATATGTAGTAATTCCTCAAAATGAAAGTATTATATATTGCAAGCATGTCAGTTATAACCTCTCAAATGAATACCGTTTTGGCAAAAGCTATTTCCAAGCCATCTTCCAGAGTGTACAGTAAATTTATGTGTTCTGTAAGGACATCAAATCTTGTCTCCACCTGGTAAAATTGTAATGTGAAAGTGTCTCTACATGCATTTTGTTATTGTTTTTCTTTAACAGAAGTGAAGAGGTGGAGAAATGCTGGCAACATAAATTATGGTATCAGCATGAAGAAATGGTTTTTATGACTCCTGATACTAATATGCACATGAAACTGCTTGGTACAAAACCAGGTGAAGGCCTTGCCTGTAGAAAGCCCCTGATTTGTTATTTATCACCAACCGTGCCAATCATAGATAATACTGGACTCAAAGCACATGATTATCATGGATTTGAACAGAAGGTGTCTAACTGTAACAGACAAGGGAAATCTTGTACTGATATCCAGTTGTTTCAGAAGCATGCAAAGACAAGTCCTGAAGTGAAACTCTATGGATTTAAACAGTGTGGAAAATCCTACTCTGATTGCACTGAAGGAAGTAACACTGAAGAGAATTCTTTCATAAAAAAGCAAGATGCGAAAGCCATCGGTTCAGCCAATTATGTTCAAAGCCAGGAAATAAATCACAGTAGGGTGAATACCTGTATACCTATACAATGTGGAAAATATTTTAATTCTCACCATGACATTCAGAAACATGAAAGAGCTCACACTGGAGAAAAATCCTATGTATATAAACAATATGAGAAGTCCTTCACTAATAACAATTCCCGTGGTAATCATGAACAAACTCACACTGGGGAGAAACCCTATGTATGTAAGCAGTGTGGGAAAACTTTCACCACACAAAGTTACTGTCAAATTCATAAAAGAACTCACACTGGGGAGAAACCCTATGTATGTAAGCAGTGTGGGAAAGCTTTCAGCCAACACAGTCATTGTCAAATACATGAACGAACTCATACTGGTGAGAAACCCTATGTATGTAAACAATGTGGGAAAGCTTTCAGCCAGCACAGTGTTTGTCGAACACATGAACGAACTCACACTGGTGAGAAACCCTATGTATGTAAGCAATGTGGAAAAGCTTTCACCACACACACTTATTGTCAGATACATGAAAGAAATCACACTGGTGAGAAACCCTATATATGTAAGCAATGTGGGAAAGCTTTCAGTACACATGGTAGTTGTCGAGTACATGAAAGAACTCACACTGGTGAGAAACCCTATGTGTGTAAACAATGTGGGAAAGCTTTTGCCATACACAGTTACTGTCAAAGACATGAACGAACTCACACTGGTGAGAAACCCTATATATGTAAGCAATGTGGGAAAGCTTTCAGCACACATGGTAATTGTCGAGTACATGAAAGAACTCATAGTGGTGAGAAACCCTATGAGTGTAAGCAATGTGGGAAAGCTTTCAAGCAACAGAGTAATTGCCGAACACATGAACAAACTCACACTGGTGAGAAACCCTATGTGTGTAAGCAATGTGGGAAAGCTTTCAGCAAACACTGTCATTGTCAAGTTCATGAAAGAACTCACACTGGAGAGAAACCCTTTGTGTGTAAGCAATGTGGAAAAGCTTTCAAGCAACAAAGTAATTGCCGAACACATGAACAAACTCACACTGGTGAAAAACCATATATATGTAAGCAATGTGGAAATGCTTTTAGCACGCACAGTGGTTGTGTAAGACATGAAAGGAATCACACAGGCTAGAACCTATGTAGGGAGTATGGAAAAACCTTTGGTGCTATAATAATGATCATAGACACTGAAAAACAGAAGAAATTAACTTTGAATTTAAAAAGTTACTTGCATTGGCATGACAGTGCAAAGAAGCTTTTTCTTCATATGTAATGTAAACCATCTCTGAGTACATAGGTATCATCAGATACCTGAAAGAATTCACAGAAGAGAGAATCAACATATGTGAACAATGAGGGAAATGTTTTACTCCATGCATTAAAGTACATAAAAGATCCACCTAAGAGGGAAGCCATGTGTATGCAATAAATGTGGGAAGCCCCTCCATTTCCCCACTTACCTTGAATAACATGAAAGAGCTCCCACTAAAGTCTATGAAAATAATGTGAGAAAGTGTTTTATGATTCTGATAACATCAGAAAACACGCACAAACTCAATATGATTTAGTATAAATATAGAATGCAAGAAAGCCAAGAATTAGAGGGACAGAAACAGAGAGGTGTATTAGGGATGAAATACGCTATTTTAAAGCACATGGGCTGGATATTCTTCCTCCAGTATGTCTATAGGTGAATGCACTGATGATGGCAGAAAGTAGCACAATAATGTTAAATTCAGAACAGCAACCTTGCATCCAAGTCTCCAGTACGTGGGCTTAAAGGGAAATTTTACATGCAAACCTTGACCTTAGTTGAAACAGTGACCTTAGTTGAATAGGTAAAGTCAAGTTTATTCATGCAATGAAATTTTATGGAGTCTTAAGACAAAGGAAATCCTTCATTTGTGACAATGTAGTTTATTCAAGAGATAAGTGGAATATCAGGAATAGACAAAGTAAAGATTGATTGTATTTGTTTTCAGCCTGGAGTGGGGAGGTTGAGATGTTAATGAGAAAGTACAAAATGGTGGCATAGATCTGATAGTAACTACAGTGATTGCAGTTCCACGTAGCATTACAATTGGCTGAATGTTGTTCTTAGTGTTTTTTTCCATATATTCAAAAGGTAATTGTGTTAGATGATACAAATACTAGGTAGAAATGATGTAATAATTTCACAATATAAACATGAGGGTCAGATGTCTAAGATGACAGGATGAAGTCTCCTGTGGGATTCTATTGGTTGAGAAGCACAAAGTCTCATGGGCCTTTATCTTACAAATTGCCTCATAGATTACATGGCCAAATGTGCAGTTTAGCTGACAATAGTCATCTATTACACTTGTTGCAGTGCCATTTTGTTGACAGCTTGTGTCATGTCAGGGCAATCTGACCTGGTGTAAAAATATACGCAGTTATTCTTATACCTAAGTTAAATTTGTTTAAATAAAATGTCGCTTTAGGAAAGAGCAATGTTGAGGCCTTGAATTTTTGGCAACTTGGCTGTAATTCTTGTTACAATTCATAGGCTCATACTTTGTAACATTTAAGAAAATAAAGATGCCCAATATATAATTTTCATCATGACCAAAACTGTTACATGGTACATTCCACCTAGGCTGTACTTGACAATAAGCATTTCTATTGTGTGTGGTTTTTTGTTTCTTTTTTGGTACTGGGGATAAGGCAGGAAATGGAACCACCGAGCTAAATCCCTGGCCCTCTGTTGTGGTTTTTGTTTGGCCTTTAAATGCCATTCTTCATTTTGATTAGTTTTAATTATTTTCATTTCCATTGTTTCCACTACATGGATACTGTCATTATCATTTAGTGTTCATATATCAGTGTTTAATCCATTCTGAAATTATAGTACTCCCTGAATCCCATTCTCAGTATTTCAGAAAAGTATACCTCTATTGCTGAACCTCGCTTATCAGTTCTAGTTGGTAGAGTCCAATCTGCTTAGCATCATCCAGAAAACCTCGTGCTTAGCTCTGGCTTTCTCCTGAATTGAATATACACCTCCAAATTATGTCCTTGCCCAACATCATTGTAGTACATGGAAATAAAGTTTTCAAGATCTGGACAAACTTCTTCCTACTCACATATATGGGTCCTTTTGTAGTAGTAGTCTCTCCTAGAAAGGGCAAAACAGTGAGAGAAGAGAGAAGAAAATAATCACTAAGAAGATATTCACCAAAAAAATAAATTTGCCAAAATCAATCTCTGGCAGTACTCCTGAACCCCAGAACAGATAAGTAAAGTATGTACCTTTTTTTTTACTCAGCTCATGATACGTTGTATATCCTGAGATAGCTATCCTCTCCAGCCACTTTTCTGAAAAATAGTTTTAATGAGGTTATATATGGTTGTATGGTTGTTGCATGTGGACTTAACTAGAATTATACCAAATGCTTCAATTTTGCTTATGCTCTTAATGCCTGTATAGATTCTAACACAAATACATTTGTGATGTGCAGAGTCCAGGTAAAGACTGGATACCATACTCAAAGGTTGAGTGAGGAGTTGAAGATTTATTTACAAAAGTATGCATCGTGTTAGAGGAACCCCATGTGTTATACAAAAATTTTTGCAAAGCCAATAACATCAAGCTGCAAAAAGTAGAAAATCAGAATGTACTAGAACCCAGTGAGAAACAAAGCTATCAGAGGTTTGCTCACAGGAGACAGCCAGTACCAGACATCTGGATTGCCATGCCCTGAGGACATCAGGTGTTAGTGTGAGAATGCATATCTCACCTTCCTTTTTGCCCCATGTACTGCTTTTCTATAGGTGCCTCCCCTTAGATAAAGCAACCAGAAGCCAGAGGTTGTGGCAGTCTGAATGGAGTGGCACTTACAGGTGAGCTGTTTAGGGGTAATTAGTGTATGCAAAGGTAGTACATCTGCCAGGTCAATAGGTGACATTAGAACCAGGTGAATTCCATTGTCAGAGGCTCTGATTGGGTGTTATGATTTCCCACAGTGCCAAATAACATGTTCCTTTTTCTGGCTTCCTGAGAAAGCCTCCCATGGGGCTACAGTGAATGATATTTTATATTAGTCTTTTTCTCATCACACAGACCAGAGTTAAGTGTTCTCACTCACAATGCTGTAGCTTTCTGGCGGTGCAGAAGTGATACACAGTCAGGTATGTTGGTGCATGACTGCCATTTCAGCCAGTTTGGACATAGGCAGAAGGATTCTGAGGTTGGCGCCAGTTTGTGCCAGTGAGAAAGTCCCCGTTTCAAAGGAAATTAAATTGGTTTGAATACATTTCCCCACTCCACAGCACTTGTTTATTATGCACAGGGACCTGCGTTCAATGTCTGGTAGTTCAGAGTGAAAGGAAAAATGATATGCAGCCAGAAAAATATGTGCTCTGTTTTTAAAAATTGTTATCCTTTTACTCATCAGTGACACGTGACACAATACTCATATGGTTGTGCAGCAGCAATGACCCCTGATGTCAGCAACAGGATACCAAGTGTAAAGAACAAGTAACATTCAGGGAAGTTATTTGACAATTTTATAATCTCTTTTTAAAAAAAGTTCTGCTCTAAATTTTACAAAGATCAATATGTCAAGCTTAATTATTTCAAGCAGAGATTAATTTAATCACTATAATTTTAAAAAAATATTTCCTTAGAACATGCTGTCTCTAATAATTATTTTACACAAAAGTTACAGTGTTAAAGTATGATTGATTTACAACAAAAACATTTTACATTTTTACAAATTCGTGTCACTTCATAATTTACCACTAGTTTTAAATTTTATTTTAACTCATATTTGTGAACCAAACTGTTCATATATAGATGTAAGTACAATACATCCACCAAAGAATACATAACAAACTTAGGGAGGGAAAAGCCCAAAATCTTTGTTTTGAACCTTGCAAAGCTAATCTGTTTTTAAAAAAAGTGATTCAAAAAATATCTTCCTGTGATTTAAAATACAGAATTACAAAATATATGAAACTATTTTTTTTTTTTTTTGAGACAGGGTCTTGCTGTGCAGATCAGGCTGAGTTTGAACTCATGTAGCCTGGCAAGATTCGAACTTGTAATGAATCACTCTGCTTCAGCTTTCCAAGTGCTGAGATTACAGGTATGAACCACCACACGAGGCTGAAAGTTAAGTTTTCCACAGCACAGTTAGGCTGAAGTCCAAAGCACTGGGGAAAATTTGCACCTGTAGCATAGAAATGACAAATATTTTCAGTGTATCCATAACAGAGTAAAAACAGAAACTGGGGCCTAGAGAAGGACCATCCACTGGATCAAGGAATCTTAGACTTCCTAGCCTATCTCATTGAGGACTAGGTGTATTCTAAACACAAGTGGATGCTGTCGTTAGACCCTGGGCAATGAATCTGCAGGGACTGGCTGAGGATCCTGTTTCCTATAGTCATGGGCCACATCAAGGATTCTGGGTACTGTAGTCCTGGAGGTAGGAAGGCATCACACCAAAGGTCCTGGGTATTGTAATCCCATGGGAGCATACTAACGATTCAAGATACTGTATTCCATTTGGGGGGACTGAAAACATACCAAGGATTTTGGGTACTCTAGTTCTGGGGCGTGTCTCACTGAGGAATCTGGATACATTAGTTCATGAGGGAGCCAGTTGAGGATTTGGGGTAAATTCCTCTGAGTGGATGGGTACATTGAGAATTGTGTACTGCAATCCTGTGGCCAGTGGAAGGTTCTGGGCATCATATTTCTCAGGACTGTCACAGTAAAGCTTTTAGATATTACAGTATTTGTAAGGATTACAGTGAGGATTTGGGGTAGCAGAGTCCTTGGAGATCATTCTGGGCATCTAGTCATTGAGGAGCACTCAGAGGATTCTAGATCCTGTAGTGGAGAGGGGCTTCTGATTACTGCAATCCTTTGGCCATGTGGAATCTTCTGATCATCCGTGAAGGGGAGGGGCAAATGGATACTTCAGGCTACTCTAGTACAGATGTGTGCAGAGACTTTTGGGTACCTTGTTTCTTGTGGTGGGGGCATAGAGAGCCTTCCTGGTACCATAATCATTGGGAAAAGTGGTGTCCTGCCATGATACTGGGAGCTGTGATGGGAAGGTAGGATTTTGTGTTGGGGTTAGGCTTTAGGTTTAGTGGTAAATGTTAGGGTTAGGGGGAAGTTTTGTTTTGAGGTTTAAGGTTTAGGGTTAAATGTTAGGGTTAAGGTTAAAGATTATGGTTAGGTTTAGGGTTTACCATTAGTGTTACATTTCTGTGTACTGTTGGAGCTACTACAGTTACTGTTAGTATTAGAGGGTTATGGTTATTATTTAGGGTTTAATGTGTGTGGGTTCGGGCTAGGGTTAGGACTAGTTTTAGGGCTAGTGTTAGGGTTTAGGGACAGTGCTTTGGTTGGAATTGGGGCTAGTGTTAGGTTAAATTTAAGGTTAGAGGTTAGGGATAGAGCTTATGATTGGGTTAGGGTCAGGGTCAGTTTTACAGTTAGAGTTATTAGGTTTAGGATTATTACTAGGTTAGAGTTAAGGTTAAAAGTTAGGATTCAATTTAGGGGTTAGGGTTAACATTAGAGTTAGGTTTTGGGTATGTATTAGGATATGGGTTTGATTATGGGTTAAGGTTAGGGTACAGGTTAAGGTATGGTTTATGACACTTAACATTACATGTTAGGGCTAGTGTTTACCGTTATATGAGTTAGGATACTGTTCAGGGTGTGGATTAGGGTATATTACTGTTGTGGCAATGAAGAACCGCTTGGTGCTTTAGCCAAATGTTATAGCTCTGAAGCACAGACCAAATTTTCAGCTCAATGTCACAGCTACTGCAATTAGAAGACTCAAGAATCTGATTGTCACTTGAAGGGGTGGAGAAAAACATTTATTATGCCAGCAGGCTCAGAGGAGTTCATACTCTGACATCTGAGCCCTCTAGTAGAAATGAGAGCCTCCTTATATAGGTGTCTACAGGGTAGGTGAGTATGCTCACTGAGGCAGAGAAGTGGCATTACAGAACTTTCCTGAAAGGGGCAGAGCTAACAGAACATGCCTGAGAGGGGCACAGCTAACAGAATATTCTTGTAAGGGGACAGAGTTTAACAGGACATTCCCAAGAGGTCATCAGGTTCAAACAGTTACAAAACATTTTGATATATTGTGCAGGAGCACTGCCCAACAGCACAAACTTACATTTCTGGAACAAAACATTCTCAGGAAAAAAAACATGCAGGCCAGGCAAGGTCCTTTCTTACTGTATAGTGTTGCTCTATCAGTATGGCACTGGTTAGGTGTGTGTTAGCATACTGGTTAGGCTAATGATTAAAGTTAGACTTAGGGTTTAGGGTTAATTTTATGGTTTATGGTTAGGGTTTAGTGTTGGGGTTAGAGTTTATTGTTAAGGTCAGGGTTTACATTAGGGTTAGGTTTAGGGTTGGGGGATTAGGGATAGGTGTTAGGGTTAATTTTAGAGTTAAATTTAGACAGGTTTATGTTTTGGGTGACTATTAAGTTTAAGCTTAGTTACAGTGTTACATTTCAGTTTAAGTGTAGATGTTGGGTTCCTGTTCATTTCTGTTTTGTTTGCTTGTTTGTACTGGGGATCCAACTGTGGACCTTGTGCTTGTGAGGCAGGTGGCAGAGAGGCTTGGTAGCAGAACCACTGAGCTGAATCCCTGGCCCTAGGTTCTGTATTATATTTCATGTTAGGTTTAAGATTGAGTTTATGTTTAAGGTTAGACTTGATTTTGGTATGTGGTTTGGTGTTAAGCTTAGGTTCATGGTTAGGGCTTATGTTAAATTTAAGGTTAGAGTTATTTTTTTGGTTTTGAGTTATGTTTTGTGTGAGGGTTAGAGTTGGGGTTAAATTTAGAGTTAGATTTCATATTAGCGCTACTGTTAAATTTAGGTTTACTATTTGTAGTATTCCATTACTTTTACAGTTAGGGTTAGTGTTCATGTTAAGA